TGTGTGTGAGGGGGGGAGAAAGACAGCTGTTGGAAACACAAAAGGAAAGACCGGCTCACTCTCCTGGGCAGGCGGAAGGTCTGTGCAATCTGAGATGGCCGGAGAAAGAAAGCACAATGGCCTCGAGTGCTAAATAAGTAATGGCCAGACCAAAGGCATCTTGGAAAACCGGTCTAGAGAGATCGATCAGCTCTCCACCTTTCAAGAGATGCAGCAGCCGAGGTCTTAGAAAATTCATCCAGGTCACCCTGCATGACCCCCAAAGGACAAAGGCAACCAGAGGGAGGGGGGGCGTTTCTGGAGAGGTTGCCTCTGGGGTCAGATGGCTGGGATATTTTGCCTAGGACCGCTATTGTCTTCTCAGCGGGGACCGTTGGAAGAAAGCTCAGAAATATCTCTTGGCACCCCGGCTCTCCGGGTGTGTCGGCTGGGAGATGCTAGGAGCTAAAGAGTGGGCCATTTTTCAAGCTCTGCTTGAAGGGATAATGATGTAACCTTAGAACTGCAGAGTGGGAAGGGACCCCATGGGTCATCCAGACCACCCCGTCAAGGAGGCACCGGGGGGGAATCGAATTCCCCGCCTCTGACTCCACAGCCGGAGACCTAAACCTTTTTTTAAATCTAAACCTATCTTACATCTAAAAACAGTACCAACCCTCAAAACCCATTCCTGATTGAAACTCCTGGTCCAGATTCAAATCCAGCTCGCTTTGGTTTAAAACCGTAAAAAGGGAATAAAGCAGTGGTGTGTTGGGGGGTGCGTTCTGAATTGAGATGAATTTTCCCCAAACCTTCCTTGAAATTTCACCTGACTGTCCTTGTCCGCTTCCTCGTTTTCCATGTCCACGAAAAACGGCTTTGTGCATAAGGATGCACTTATTAAATTTCACTTAGGGACGTGTTTCTAGGCAGCCTCTGAAAGCCTTCGCAAGGTGGCCTGCCTAATGAGCGAAAGGTGACTCCAACACCCAATTTAAAACCCAAACTGCTCGCCAGGTATTTAGAGGGCCTGTTTCCTAGCAACCCGGTCTTCTTTAGGGCCTTGTGCACGGCTTCAAAGGGCCTCCCTCTCCCCACCCTGGGGGCGGCTTCTGCCCCAAATGGTGGTCCCCCCTCCTGCCCAGATGATCCCATCTCCCTGCAGTGCCTGCGGTCACCATGGCAACAGAAGACTTGATCATTCAGCCAGAGAGATGCTAAGCTGTCTTCTCCGCGGCCAGCCGGCAGCCATCCCACATTACAAATTCCTTTATGTGGAGCTTCTTGAGGTCCATTTTGGAATACTGCACACTTTGCACATCAACATCTCTCACACTCCACATGTTGACAAGGGGCAATCCGATTGACTGGAACTTGTGGCTGGTCTGTCTCGCCCACCCCCTCCATATACTTTGTTTTTTTTGGTCTTTTTGGGATTGTTGCACACATTTTGGGAGTGTCCCTTGCCAGATCACATCTGTTTAAAAGCATAAAACCCGTCATCTTCCTGGCTTTCTTCAGCTTCACCTCTGAGGGCAGGCTGGTGATGGCTACAGGTGGCCTTCAAGGTCCCAAAGACCTCGATGCCACCCCCAGATCTCCGAAAATTTGAAAAGTAAGCCTAAGAATCTCAAACAGGACACTCCATTCTCTTTTTTGGGGGGAGGGGCTCCAAAAACCCCTTCAGCCTTCTGGATAAATGGAGGCCATTTTGTTATATTTTGAGGCCCACCTCCAAAAAATATTTTCCCCCCATTAGACAGCACAGGGGGGGCATTTTAAATAAAAACACCCCATTTCTGAAAGCCACGAGGAACATTGACCTAAATGTACAAAGAGCTTTTATGCCTTCTAACCACAAGGAAATAAAGGTATAGAAAAATCCTCATTGGCTGACAAATAGGTCAAGGGAGTTATTCCGTATGCATTCTATAGGGTAGAACATCCAAGGGACATATGTTTTCTAACTATGCAGGCAGTTCCCCCCCCCTTTGGGTACCGGTACTTATTTCTTATATTTTTATATTTTTATTTATTTATTTACTTATTTGATTGATTGATTGATTTTTACTCTGCCCCTCTAGACAATGTCTGGCTCACAGTCTTACACATCTTCAGCTCTGAGCAGGAGTTTTTGTTCTTTAGTCATTAAGTCATGTCCGACTCTTCGTGACCCCACGGACCAGAGCACGCCAGGCCCTCCTGTCTTCTGTTGCCTCCCAGAGATGTGTCAAATTCACGTTGGTCACTTCGATGACACTGTCCAACCATCTCGTCCTCTGTCGTCCCCTCCTCCTCCTGCCTTCACGCTTTCCTAACATCAGGGAGTCCTCTCTTCTCATGAGATGGCCAAAGTACTGGAGCCTCAGCTTCAGGATCTGTCCTTCCAGGGAGCACTCAGGGTTGATTTCCTTCAGAATGGATAGGTTTGTTCTCCTTGCAGTCCAGGGGACTCTCAAGAGTCTCCTCCAGCACCACAATTCAAAAGCATCCATTCTTTGGCGGTCAGCCTTCTTTATGGTCCAGCTCCCACTTCCATACATTGCTATTGGCAAAACCATAGCTTTGACTATGCGGACCTTTGTCAGCAAGGTGATGTCTCTGCTTTTTAAGATATTGTCGAGGTTTGTCATTGCTTTCCTCCCAAGAAGCAGGCGCCTTTTAATTTCGTGGCTGCTGTCACCACCTGCAGTGATCATGGAGCCCAAGAAAGTAAAATCTGTCACTGCCTCCATATCTTCCCCTTCTATTTGCCAGGAGGTGATGGGACCAGTGGCCATGATCTTAGCAGGGGTTTACCTCCCATCTAAGACTCTTGCTTGTCACCAGAATAGTATATAACCTCAAATGAGTGAGTGGTGCCTCAACTTCTGTATTCTGTTTTCAGCTCATGCTCCTCTTCTCTTTGGTGAAACGTCTTGCTATATAGGAAGAGCCTCAAAAATGAATCAGCTGCCCCATTTATCCAGAAGTGTGATCCTATTTTCAGCTTCCCAATCCTGGGGCACTGCTGTGCCATTATTCTGCCATAAAGGGAGATATTATCTGAGGGATGCCTTTGAAGTGTGGTGGGTTTTTCAAAAGATGCATGCACACGTCCAGTATCATTTATCAGGTTTCGCCTGCCTGCTGCTGCAAGTCTACAAGGACAGATTCCCCTTGCCATGCACATTAATGAACTACAGAGCAGGATAAGCTATCGTGCCCTGCTTCTGATCTATCTCAAATATTAATGGCTTTGCAGAGTTTGTTGCTTGTTACAGAAAAGCAAGGCCTGTTACGACAGTGCGCTCTACTCAGGAGTAAGCCTGAAAGCTGCCCTATTGATCCCAGAAGGGATTACAGTAATTGATTAATAAATCCTACCAAAGTAAGCAGGACTTACTTCTGCTCAGATCAGAATGGTTTATTTTGCAGTTGTCATATTTCTGCCTCAAAAGAAGCCACAGCCCTTAGGATCGTTAATGACCCAATCTTCTGGAAGTTATTAATTCCTGTGATTAAGAAGCAACTTTATGGTACGTAATATCAGCGAATGCCTTTCAAATTATGTTTCGTTATCTTGGTGGGGAAAAGGGGGAGAGCAAATTTTTTCATACAGTTTACTAATGGACTGGGCTTAATTCTTTTGGTATTTCAAGGAAACCAGAGTAGACAGAAGCGCGTTTTCATGAACTGAAGACCCTTCAGGGCATCACAAGAGCAATAAATATCTTTATTCTCATTAACCACCACGCAGATCCGCCCATCTAGTTTTATTTACATGCAGCTTCTTCCGTTCTTTTTGGAAAGGCTTGAAACCTTCTCTCTTCATCGCAGCTTTCGCTCTTCACTCTCTCAACCCGGTGGCTCCCGCAGGGACTACAACTCCCATCCAACCCACCCGCCCTGCTGACTGGGGATGATGGGACGGGGAACCCATGGAACGTAGCTTTGCAGACACGCGGAAAGGAAGGGATTGAAAACTTTGTATTTCTGCTCTAAAAATGCAGGAATCGCCCCTGAAAGCCAAGTGCAGGGTGGAAAGGCAGGTAGAGAGACAGCCCTGGGCACAGACTACACAACCACCACACCACCACACCAATCGCACGGCTCCCGCTTCCAAAATGACATTAGAGACGCTGCACCGAATTAAACCCTGTAAACACCTCAAGGATAAAACCGCCTGTCAGTTCCAGTTCCATCTTTAATAAGCAAGCAGCCTTAGAAAGCGAAAAGGGGGCCGGCGAGAAAGGCGCTCCCAAGGGCCTGCTGGGAAATGGAGTCTTTTTCGCTCTCCGCGCGGCGGGCACCGAAGGGAAGGACCGCCGCTGCGCCAGAGGCGCTCGCGGGAATGCGCGCGCAGCCAGCCCGCCCTTGAAGGGGCGTAACGGTAGGACCGTCTGCCTGTCTGTCTGTCTACCCGCTCGGGGGAGGCGGGGCTTGGTTCCTATTGCTTTTCTTTT